AAATTTTGGACTGTTGGCATTTTAAAATGGAATGTATGCACTTGTATCTTATGCTTCTATGTTTATTTGAACAATAAAATATCTATCTTAAAATACAGATAGTGACAGAGAAAACTGAAAATATATTTGTGATCAATTTTGTCAGTCTGGTGGATAAGTAAACCATGAAAAAAATTATTATTATTATTATTTTTTAAGTGTATTTGCTTTGTATCAGTAAGAATCTTTATAGCTGATATGTCCTATTACTAATGGGTGTTTTAGTGGCCTGTCTGTTTAGTTGGCACTGGCACAAGAAACCAGTTTGAGTAAAGTAGGATACTGTTTGGTGATCGCAACGCAGCAAAGACATAACTCTGAGCGAGTAATAAAAAAATCAAATCAAATAAAACAAAATAAAATGTATTAAATTGAACTAGGTTGGGCTTCTTTGTGTACGAAAGCAGTCTGAAACCCATAAACATATACAACCACCACATGCTCATGCTGTAACAATCATACCCATGCCAAAATGGAATTGGATTTTTTATTAACCCCTCCTGATCTTTATTACGCTCATTACCACAAAATGTGGTTCTCTCATTTCTGCTGTATCATTGTAATCTGGAGCCAAATGTAAAGCGAGTGACGACTGGACTCACGCTGTGATGCGCTTGAACATGCTCAAAGCAACGCTCTGCCAGAGAATCATTTTATGGGTTTTTATTTTCCTTGTTTCAGCAAAATCATAATTGAACGCAAGCTTCACTAAGCTGCATCATCTGCGTATAATGCATTTTATATGCATTCGGAATCAACTGATATGAGCCTGAGAGAAGATGTAAGGTTTCAGTGATGGACCACACGCAGCAGGAATATGGGAAACTATAAAAACCTTCCGAGACAAGATGACGAGCCAGTTTGAAAAACACGAAGCATCCTGAATCGTGAAGCTGCTCCTGTCCTCTTGCCCCTGAGCCCTAGAGTGAATGCATCCTGAACAATCCGTACGAACCTTATGTGCACTACACCCCCTGTAGATTACAGACCCAGAAACACAGTTTAACATGCATGAGGAGAGAAAAAGTAGGTCTGGTCTATTACTACTTAAGACATATTCACCTGTTTCATACTTTAGATTATGTTTAGCTATGTTTCACAAATAATATGACATAATTGTGGTGTAAATGGACGTCTTATGATGACTTCATTTGGGATTTCATTGGGTGTGTCTCAATCAGCTCCCTAGTTCAGTAGAGTACATCGTGAATCAGTATATCGTGTACACAAGCTGGGACCCTGGCTCACTACTCATTGAGACACTACTAACGGAATTTCCGGCATCATGACTATGTTCTCACGTTGTAAAACATCACCGAAAATTAAAAAATGAAAAGTATAGGTTTTATATGTCATATAAATTAGCTAAGTTAGCTTAAACACTCACTTCTGTCATAATATATGAAGTAAGATCATAGGCTAGCAAGTGAATTTTTTTTTAAATCATTAAACACTTAAAAGTCATTAGACTCAACCAACCCGTATATATAAAACATAAAATAAATTTAAAATCGCTCGTGTAAGTAATCATTTCAGAGCTACAACACCGATAACAAGCTATTTACATATGTAGACAAAGTTCGTCAGCCATTTTTTTTTCCAAGCTGAGAGGCTTCAGAAAACATGACGTCATTTCCAGTAAGGGAACATAGTGAGCATCGATGCTCCCTGGTTTTTGCGGTGCATTGTGGAATTTTTTTAGGTGCACTGGAAGGATTTTGCAATTGAGATTTTGCATTTTGCATAAAATGGCCGACTCCCTGATCAGTGTTCTGACTACTGAACTAGGGAGCTGGCTGAGACATACCCATTGACATGGTAGCTGGGAGAAGGAACGGGCTACACAACAAAGCCTGTTATTGGTCATTGCAAACAAATGCAATACTTTTGAGGAGTGTCTGTCAACGTCAAAATCAAGGGATTACAAAAACCCACAAATAGTTTTAAATCTAACGGTCTCACATACCACGTCTGTCTTCTTTTTCATTTCCATTACACTTTGTAAAGATGGAACAAAATAAGCTTCCTTTTCCTTATATTCTATCATTTGTTTTTGTACTTCCAACAACGTTGCTATAATAAACAACTGTCAACTCTTTGCAGCAGGCAATCTTCATCTTGTAGTCATGGAAACTGTCATGAAACTTTAATAGCGCCACCTGCAGTACTGGAGCACTTGTACGTGACAGCCGATACAAAACCTCAGAGAGTATGAGAGCTTGTTAGAGCGTCTTCATGCAATCTCTGCACAAGACAGTGGGACAGAATAGCAACCGTTTACAGCCTGCTCCGTGCATGAATGGTTGTAAATACGTTACATAACTGCCCCCTCAACTATGGCGTAACATTCAGGCTGTCAGGAACAGTCGATAAAAGATAAATAAATCACGCTACTTCATTTGGTTCTGTGCTTCTTTGCAGCCTGTCTCTGAATCCAGCGTTGTTTTCTCAAGTGCCTGCTAGTTTGCATTTCGTTCTTTCTCTTTAGAGAGAGTGTGCGCTACATGCTGAGGTTACGGCTGGGAAATGCTGTGGCCTTTCTAAAATGAAAGCACTCTAGATCAGAATGCACGCCTTCAGGGACAGAGCAGGAAGAGATGACAAGCTTGAGTATAATACGTGATTCAGAGCTATGAAAAGAAACTACAAATAAAACTTTGAACCGCCAGAGCTTTAGAATGAATCATGTGGTTATAAATTGGTATTCAGATACGTAATGCTTAATATTACTCACATATCTGACAACTTAAATGTCAGTCCATTCTGTTCTAAGATGCTGATGACATGAGAAGTACAACAATGGACGGACAGGAATACTTAAAGAAATTATTAAAAGATATTTTTTTGCATACAGATATTTTTGATGTTATTTGTCTGATCGAATGCAAAAGTATTCCGTGTATGAGTGTGGTGTTGTATATTCTTGTGCTTTAAAAAAAAACATAATCAGCTTACTGACAGAACTTATAACAAATGTCTATCTCGTCTTCGTGTGCAATTTCCTGAGTGATGACTCAGATGTGAGCCTCTCGCATGTAGCATTGATATCAGCTAATTATTTGATAAGGAATCATGGCAAATGAAGGAAGGAATGTACTGATAAATTCTTTCAATTAAACTATGTGTGACTGGCATGAAGTGGCCCAATGTGTGCCAAGAAAACCAATTCTACACATCATTATACCACCACCAGCCTGATCGGTTGGCTCCGTGAACACAGAATGTTGTTTCTTTTTCGCACCACTCTGTTTAAACTCTACAGTTTATTCAAGTCTTTAAATGAATTTAATTAAACTATTTATTTAAATATTCAAACCAGCCCATCTGGCACTATCAACCCTGCCATGATCAAGGTCACCGAGATGACATTTTTTTCTTCATTCTGATGTTTGAGGTGGACGAAGCGTTTGAAATGTATCTGCGTTATTTTCTGCACTGTGAACGATTGGTCAGTGAGTTTATATGTATAAGACTCTGAGGCTCTGTAAACGACATAGACGTGTGTATCTGATGTGTTTGTGCTGTTCTAATTTTTATGCCACTATTTATAATGGCGCTAGTTATTAATTGTACTGCAGTGTAAAGCGCAGAAAATAAGCATTCAGGTTTAAAAAACTCATAGCAGCTATTTCAGGCTATAACCTGAGAAAGTTTTTTTTTTTTTTAACAGACTGACCTAGAACAAAATCAGCTCTATTCATCATTATGGAGAAAAACGTTTGGAATTCCCATTGTACTTGTCTAGATTTTTTTTTCTTAAAGAAAAGCAGCGTCCTTGTCCACAGGGCCAGTAGGACAGATCGAGGACAAGATAGATAGATAGTTATATAGATAGATAGACAGAGAGAGAGAGGGAGAGAGAGAGAGATTGGTACTCTGTGTCAGAGAGAGAGGGAGATGAGTGCCAGTCTTCTATAAATGTATTGCTATATTTCAGCCCCACACAGCCTCTCTAGTGGAGTGTGCCTAAACAGAGATCTCCTGGGTGTTTTTGTGAGTGTGTGAGTGTGAGCGTGAGTGTGTGAGTGTGTTCTGAAAGAGTGTGTGGGAGTTGTTTTGCATGTGTAGAAGGTAAATGGCAGAGTTCATTCCTATGCTGAAGGTGGAAAGGATGCTGCTGATGGGGAGGGAAGAGCCTCAAGGCTTCACACATTTTTATCTCGACGTTACCCTGCTAGGACACACAGACACACACACACACACACACACACACACACACACACACACGTTTGCCTTACTATCTTTATGAGGACCTTCCATTGATGTAATTATTAATCCAGCTAATTACTAGTATGCCTACTCCCAAATCTAACCCCAACCTTAACCTTGGTAACCAAAGGAAAGCCCTTGGCTCTTTTAGTGTTTTTGTTTTAAGCAGATTTCCAAGGCAGTTGTCCAAATGTGAACATTTTCCCCATCATAAGTCATGCAACCAGAACAGTCAGTAAGAAATATGGTGTAATTTTTCACAAGCAGAAAAAAAAGAAAGAATAGTGACTGTCTTGGACTTCACCAAAGAATCATTCAAATCTTGCACTCAGTATCCATTTCATCCCTATACAAACATACAGAGATGTAAAACTTCAGACAGACAGTAACCTGACCTCGGGCTCAAACCAGGAACGCTGGGGCTGCATGTTAGGAACGCAACCCACTGTGGCAAAACGTTACAGTATATATATATAACAACAATACATTGCAAATATGTCCATAGTAAATTATAGCTGCTTTCCATATATGGTAAAATATATGGATAATAATATACAGTGTCATGCAACTCTATGTATCGAAACATATTATATAAATTTTTATTAATACTTAAATATATTTATAACTTTAATGCATTTACATTTACAGCCTTTGGCAGACAAACTTATCCAGAGCCACTTACATTTAACTCATTTATACAACTGTGCAGTTCAGAATTAAGGGCCTTGCTCAAGGGCCCAGAGGTAGCAGCTTGGCAGTGCTGGGATTTCAACTCACAACCTTCCACTCAGTAGTCGAACATCTTTACCACTGAGCCACCACTGCCTTTCTTAAAGACTACACTTCTTCAATATTGTAAAAGTGTCTGGAGCTGTACTGGAATGATAAACACTGTTTTTTGGAAAAGATATTCTCTCATCTGGTGTTATGATGGTGGTGGAGAATTCTATCTAACACATCACTCCAAAATATCCCATAAGTATTAATTTGGTTTGAGAGCTGGTAACCATGAATGATTTACATCATTTTGAATGAATGAAAAAAACCAAAAAACATATCCAAATAACAAGTGAAGCGTTGCAGGAACTACCACTGGGAGTAAGAAATGGTGAATATTTTTTTGTATGGTGAAAATTATCTTTATTTTCCAAATATCTGTTTTTCGAGTTTTCCGAGGTACAGTATTTTGTGAACCTCAGCATGCTAGTACGGGTTTGTTGATGAGTTTGAATTATTCAAAATAAAACAAAATTTTAGCTGTTCTTTTTCGGTGCATTAAAGTCCATCAAATAGGTTACAGAAATAATGAAGAGTGAATGATGTCTTAGGGTCATTCGGACTCGGATCGAATTAAGAAGATCTCTGATTTATGGTCAAATGAGAGATAGTACTTACTGCAGAACCAAAGGTCCAGGGGGTGGAGCCGAATCTGTTCCGACTCCTCCTATAAGTCTACCCCTAAAACTAACCCTCACAATGCTGTACAACATGAAACGACACTTTTCAAGCCTGAAACTCCACCCACTGGACATCTGGCTCAGCTCTGCACAGCTCTGCCCAGGTATGAGGAGCTGGATCATGTTTGACTCCACCCAATGGACTTCTTTTTTTTTTTTTTTTTTTTTTTTTACAGCTACGGATACTTGACTAGCAGCCACTTTAAAGTGATTTGAGCAATGTAAGGCACTTTATCCTGGTTAGGGTCATGGTGGATCCGGAGTCTATCCCGGGTACACTGAGTGGGAGGTGGGAATATAGACCAGTGGAACAGTGTCCAAATCCAGGCACCACGCACACACAGATTCACACCTAGGGGCAATTTATTATATCCAATCCATCTTGGGCTGTAGGAGGAAACTGGAGAACCCAGTGGAAACCCACATAAGCATGGGGAGAATTCTCGAGCTCTGGATCGAACCCTGGGGCTATGAGTCAGCAATGCTACCCATGACAATTCTGTAACCTTCTCATATTTCCAGCATAAAAGTCACATTTTAATATTCATCAATTAGTCCCCACTTCTCTTGGGCCTCATCGTCTCCTAGCTACGCCACACACTGTGTACATCTCTGCCACAATGACCAAGCAAATCACAGTGATCCATATTCAATGACTGAAAAAAACTTCAGCACTTCACTGGATTGAAAGTAAAAAAGTTCTATTTCAAACATCACACCAATGTCGGATGTTTTACGCTAAACAAGGTCAGCATTTCATAACCTTTCAGCTTTGCCTTTCAAAAAGTGTCAACAAATTACTACTTTCTCCTTGATCTGACTTGAGAAGACATGCACACTCTTCATAAATTGGAAAAGGAGGCATTGCTTTACTTTAGCTATGGTATATGTAGTGTTAAATGGGATTCCGCTCCGAGCAGCCAGAGAGGACTGATCGTTGCGCTCTGGAGAGGACAGGTAAATTAGCTGTCACTTTTAATCTGCAAGGAAACGCTGCTCTCCTTTGCTTCGCTTCGGTTCTTCCTCTCCTTCTTGGATTCTGTTTTCATCCCATCTCTCTTTGGCCTTGGACTGTACCTTAGGTGTTCCTTACTGTCACTCAATTTTCTCACAGGTTCTTCATAGAAACAGACAGATCTATTCTCCAAAGTCATAAATAGAAACTACGGCCTGGTAAAAGCTTGTCCTACTCAGTTAATGCACCTGGGTAAGCACATCCACCTCCATAATTATTGGCACTCTTTCAGAAAATGCATATAAATAAAATACATACGTACATACATACGTACATCTAAATAATGTCTGTGAGTGACAATGAATGGTACACATTACAAATAGTGCCTTCAATGGCCAGTTCTTGTTGAAAAAACAAACAAACAAACAAACAAACAAACAAACAAAAACAAATAAAATTACAATGGTTGATTTGTGGGGTCCAAGCACCCTTTGCAAATTTTGTCCCAATGGTCAGTGTTTACCAAGATATACTACTACTACTAATAATAATAATATTAATAATAAAATTAATGATGATGATGATGTTATTATTATTATTATTATTATTATTAGTAGTAGTAGTAGTAGTAGTAGTAGTAGTAGTAGTAGTATACGAGGAAAAAAATATAATGAAAAAATTCAAAAACCTATGTGGCAAGACTGTTAACATCCCTAAAGAATGTTGCAAAAAACAATGTTGTTTATTCATATACCCATATAGCATACATTTATGGACCAGTGTTTTTACATGATTACAACTATACTGCATGTATGAATTCTGGTGCGCAGGCCAAATGTTTAGCTTCCAAACACATGAACTCAACATCATCCTGGACAGGATCTAATTCCTCTAGTCACATAACTGCAGAGGAACACAGAACATTACAGAGGACATCTCTACATCAAAAGAGCACCATTAATACAATGAGAGGCTGAAAATAGAGCCTCTCTGAATCATAGGCTTGAAGAAGGCACAGGCTTTCAAACAAACTTACTCTGTGACCTATTCCTCATTGATTAGGGTCAATCAACATGTAAAGGTTATTAAATACTGCATATGGATTCATCGTCATCATCATTATCATACATCACCATCATCATCATCACTATCGGTAATCATCTGGGCTCATCTGTTCATCATCCAGCTTTAATTTGTATGTCTAGCAATTGAACCTAATGTATCAATTCAGGTATAATGTACAGCATAATTACATTATAATAATGTACATTCTTTATGATTAGCATGAATTAAAAAACATAAAATGTCAAAACCAAATATGTGCATTACAATTATATCAGAATTATTCATGGAATGTCGAAACAGAAGAACTTATGTGTGGTGGTCTGGGAAAACTCTATACATGGTGACATTTTGACATCTTCTACTATAAATCCATAGTATGGCAATATTATTAATCACTGCACACTCAAACCCTGATATGCAAACTAACAATTCAATTCAATTTTATTAATAACATGCTGGATTCCCATCTTTCCATTTGCATCAGGGAAAAACAACAGACACTAGGTACTACAGTGCCCTCCACTAATATTGTTACCCTTGTTAAATATGAGCAAAGAAGGCCCTTTGAACCTTTTGATCTTTTGTTTAAAATGGATATCAAACAACTGCAAACGAAGAACAGGTTTATAAAAAAAAATCTTTGTTAAATATATGTGTGCAATAATTATTGCCACCCTTTTAGTAAATACTTTGTGCTACCACCTTTTTGCCAAGATAACAGCTCTGAGTCTTCTCCTATAATGCCTGATGAGGTTCGAGAATACATGCCGAGGGATCTGAGACCGTTCCTCCATACAGAATCTCTCCAGATCCTTCCAATTTCGAGGTCCATGCTGGTGAACTCTCCTCTTCAGTTCACCAAACAGGTTTTCTATGGGTTTGCTAGGATGGCCATGGCAGGACCTTGTGGTCCTGTAAACAGTGACCAGTTTGTGGTTAGTAAACCATTTCTGTGTAGATTTTGATGTATGTTTTGGATCATTGTCCTGCTGGAAGATCCAACCACGACCGATTTGAAGCTTTCTAGCAGAGGCAGTCAGGTTTTCATTGAATATCTGTTGATATTTGATAGAGTCCATGATGCCATGTATCCTAACAATATGTCCAGGTCCTCTGGCACAAAAATAGCCCCAAAACATTAAAGATGCACCACCATATTTAACTGTGGGCATGAGGAATTTTTCCATATGGCTACCTCTCTGTGTGTGTCAAGAGCATCCCTGGTGTTTATTGCCAAAAAGTTCTATTTTGGTTTCGTCTGACCATAGAACTTCCCATTTGAAGTTCCAGTAGTGTCTGGCAAACTGAAGACGATTGAGTTTGTTTTTGGATGAGGGTAGAGGATTTTTCCTTGAAACCCTTCCAAACAGCTTGTGGTGATTTAGGTGACCCCAAGACGCTACTAACTTCTGTATTTCTCCAGTTGTGATCCTTGGAGATTTTTTGGTCACCTGAACCGTCCTTTTCAAAGTGTGTTGAGATGATTTAGACACACGTCCAATTCTAGGTTGATTCATTACATCCCCAGTTGACAGGAAATTCTTAATTATTGCCCTGATGGTGGAAATTTACTTTTTTTTTTATAAACCTGTGTTGTGTTTGAGAGCAGAGTATTTTTGTAAATGTTTTGAACAAAAGATCAAAAGTTTAAACATGGAAATTTATGCTTTATGGAAATTCACAATATATTACAGTTTTCTTGAATAGATTATGTCCAGATATTGAGGGTTGTTTAAATGTATCTTTGAAACACTACGTGTATTACTGGACTAGAAATAACTAATCAAATTACGAACTACAGCTTTAACATTCATACTACAAGAGTGCTACTACAAGAGATCATAACTGAACCTTGCTGAATGCTGGACGAACAAAATTCAGAGGAAGAATGCTACACTGAGTGTAGTAGATACAAAATAGTAGGCCACTGACCCAGAAAACAGTGAGATAAATATTCACAATATGATGGAACTGGAAACGATGCCCTCCATAAACATTTTAGCCTTATAAATGTTGATGAGTTACTTGCAGGTTAGTAGCAGTAACATTCAATGCCAAAACATTACCAGAAATTCTTGACTTGAAAATAATTTCAATACTTGCAAAATGCATGATCTCAACCTCACAGCCTTGACTCAGGTTGAGTTCTTGGTAAGCACCAGGACAGAATAGAACATTTGGAAATGTGTACAAGAGGGGGGCAGAGACGGAGAAAATGTTGAGTTGATATTCTGAATGAGTACTAGGCGAGCTATACGACTGATCTCCAGGGATGACAGGAGACAAAAAGGAGCGAGCAAGGTATCTAGATTGGCATTAAGTTTCATAGCGGAGTCAGAACGATGGCGT